AGTTGGATGAACCTCCCCTAGACAGGATTTTGCAGAGCCATAGAACAGCCCAAGAATTAACAGAAGGGCACCTTTGTCAGTGGTCCACACTCAGACATGATGCCCTGTCTGTGAGAGACAGCCGAAAGGGTTCAATTCAGACTTAAACATGGACTCTCTCATTTTCCACAGTAAAATTGTTATCGTCATTTAGATTGTTTGAGGAAATGCTGTTTATTTTATTTTTATTTGAGAGGTTTGTTTTGACTTTGATTCCTTGAGACAGAGTCCCATGGAGCCCAGGCTGGCCTCCAACTTGCCAGGTAGCAGAGGCTGGCCTTGCATTCCTGATTCTCCTGCCTCGTCCACCTTCCAAGTGTTCCGGCGTGCACCACCACACCTGGTAGCATTCGTTTATACACAGTAGCTCATTCTAGGATGGCGATAAGTCAGCTTTGACCAAACACTGGCTTTAAATATCAACATCACACAGGGACGGTGGCACATGCCTGTCGTCTGTTTGAGGCCAGACTCAGACCAATTGAGTCCGTTTCAAGACAGGGACAAAAAATTCAAAAACTAAAATTCACCATTACGTCTGTGGCTAGAAATGGGCAGTAAGTCTCTTCTGACTGAAGGCTAGGTGTTCTCTTCACTGTGAGTGGAAGGGGGGTGTGGGGGAGACAGACACAGAAGAACGTGAAGAGAGGGGGAGAGGGAGGGAGAGGAGGAAGAAAGGGAGGGGAGAGAGAGAGAGAGACAGAGACAGAGAGAGAGACAGAGACAGAGACAGAGACAGAGAGTGAATATTGTCCTGTGAACAGCAGCTGTCCAGCCTAAGTTGAGGGCCCTGCATGGGAGTCCAGGCTGGACCACCTCCTGGCGGTGAGGTTCATGGGCTAGCCATGGCACCTGAGCTTGTTTCCTTCTTGTAAATTTGAAGTCCTTAAGTTTTATTCGCCATGGCTTGTTCAACACCAGCGTTTCCCAGACGGTGGGCTGTGGCATTGATACAACAGTAGGGATGGGCAACACCGGACCGGGTGGCCCCAGCTGGCGGTGCTCACTTGGAAGGCTGGGAGACCCCTAAGAAGCGGAGCCTCCAGGGAAGAAATGGGTCTCGAGAGGCGGCCCTAAAGCTTTGGTATCCGACTTCACTTCCTGTCTGCTCTCTGCTTCCTGGATACATGTGACCAGCCACCTCACCTGCCTGCCGCCCTTCTTCACCACCCTAAGGATTGCATCCCTCCTCAGACTGTGAGCCAGAATGAGCCCCGCCCCCTTAGGTGGCTTCCTGTCAGGTGCAGTCACAGGTAGACACGGCTTTGTGACACACCCTTAAGTACGTGAGTGCCGTTCACATTCAGTAATGGACAGTGTCATTCTTCTTCCCTCTTCAGAGTTGGGGGCCTCTGTGTGTCAAGCCATCCTCCTGCCTCAGTCTCTTGCCTGAGGAGTCACACACACAGGCACGCCCCACCGTGCCTGGCTGCCATGCGTATTTTCATCCTGGAGGACAGTTAAGCAGCTCATGTCGCACCACTAGTGCTTCTGGGAAACAGGGTCTCCCATCACCCCATTTTAGAGCTGGGGAAGCTGAGGCTTCAGAGTTGACGTCTCTCTCCCACAGTTAGAACCAGAGCTGGCTTTGCCCCCAAGATGCACCTCAGCTTCAAGCCTCCTCCCCAGGTGGGATGGAATGGCCAAGAGCTCGGCCTGTGACTGGCATACAGTAGGTGCTTAATAAATGTTAGAAGTGGGTTTGTAATTGCAGCTCTTCCCTAGTGTGCCAGGTGACCAGCAAGCTAAGGGCTGAGGCAGTTTGGGTCTCTACAGCCCCAGATACTGGTGTAGCAGAGAAGAGCTGTACAGCCGCAGACCGGTTCACAGAACACATAAATCCCGTTATTCTACTCCCCGCCCCTTTTTTTTTCTTCAAAATCTGACCCCATTATATATAAAGCTTGGGATATTCACTTCAAAAATCTAAGACTTTGAACCAGGCATGATAGTGCACGTCTTTAATCCCAGCATTTGGGAGGCTGAGGCAGGAGGATCTCTGTGAATTGGAGGCCAGCCTGGGCTGCAGAGCGAGCTCTGGACCAGCCAGACCTACACAGTGAGGTTGTCTCAAAAACAAAACAAAATGGCTCTGTGGCTGATCACTTGCCTGGAATGCACAAGGCTGAGTTTATTCCTCACACAGGGGTGGCAACAAACACCAGCCACTCCCAGCAATGTGGCACTCCCATAGGGCAGTGTTCACACGGTGCAAACCTGAAAGCCTGACTCTCTTCCCCTTCTTCAGTACCCACCTGGTCCCCAATCCTCCCTCCACTTCCCCCATCTTCCTCCCTACATGCATGGTCCTGCCTTGGGGTTCACCCAGCATCGTGGTCACCCCTGGAGCTCTGGAAAGTATTGCTGGCCAAATCCACCTCAGAGGGGCTGTCATTCCTGGGGGTGGGGTGGGGGGCTCCACAGGCATTTATTGTTTGGAAGTTTTCCCAGGTGCCTCTAACACTCAATCAGCATTAAAAATTGTTGCCTAGCCGGGCGGTGGTGACACACATCTTTAACCCCAGCACTTGGGAGGCAGAGGCAGGTGAATCTCTGTGAGTACGAGGCCAGTCTGGTCTACCGAGTGAGTTCAAGGACAGCCAGGGGCTGTTACCCAAGAGAAATCCTGTCTCAGAGGAACCAGCAAGACGGCTCACTGGGCAAAGGCACCTGTGGCCAAACTTGATGACCTGGGTTCAGTCCCTGGGACCCACATGGTGGAAGGTAACAGCCAGTTTTACTAAGCTGTCCTGTAACCTCCATATGCACACAAGGGCATACACACACACACACACACACACACACACACTAAATAAATAAATAATTTTATAAGAGATGCTTTAATAATGTCCAGGTTTCTTGAACAATTGGAGCCACCTAGAACATGATGTTGATTTTGTTTCCAGCGAGGATGCTATTTCTATGGGGACCGATACCAACCGTATTTCGGTCATGACTGTGTACCCCATACTTGGCTTGACAAACCACAGCGTTGGAATGAATTCTCTGGAATGAATACTCTCCACCCATTTTTCTGTCCCCGGTGGTCGCCTCCCGTCTATGGGCTGCAGTTCTGCACATGGCCACCAGGGGGCGAGGGCACTGGATTGCACTAACCACTTTGGCTAGCCAGGCTCTGCCATCAACCCCCGCAGTCCCTTGCTAACGGGAAGGAACAAGGCCACTTCTGTGTGTTCAGACCCCTTCATGACCTTTTCTCATTCTCAGATTCAGAGTCTGGCATCTGAAAACACTCAACCGGGGGCCTGGGATGCAGCTCCAATAATTGGTAACCTGTGTGAGGCACAGGGTCCCCAGCCCCTCAAACACCCTCTGCCCACTCCAAGGTCACGAGAAGCCTGCAGCTGTGTCTGGACATGCAGTCTCCACCTACCTGCCACACACTGGCGGCCCTCTGGGCTGTAACTATGACTCCACGGAGACCAGCGGGGACAGACTGTGACAACTGTCCACAGGACAGTAAAAAGAATGAGGACATTCTGTACGTGGACTTGAAATCTAAGTGAAACCAGGCAACCAAAAGTGTGTCAAATGCTCACTTGTGTATATATAGAGAAGTCTGCACTGTGTAAATGCTAGACACTGAGGGACATTCAAGGCCAGGGGAGAGCAGGGTGGCTGGAAGGGTCTTGATACAGACTCTTACAAATCTGCAAGCGGGAGTCATGTGACTGCATTTGGCAGTTGAATGAATGATAAAAATCAAGGTTCACATCATTTATTTATTCACTCTTTTATTTGAGACAGGGTCCCGTGTAGTTCAAGCTGGTCTTGAACTCACTACCTAGCCAAGGGTGACTTTGAAGTTGTGATTCTCCTGCCTCCCCCTCCCAAGTGCTGGGATTGTAGGCATGTGCTCCCATTCCCAGTTCCAGGAAGTGCTGGGGACCAAACTCAGGGCCTTGTGCATGCTAGGCCAGCACCCTACCAACTGAGCCATAGTCCAGCCCTAAACTTCACATTAAAAATAAAACAACGGGCTGGAGAGATGGCTCAGAGGTTAAGAGCACTGACTGCTCTTCCAGAGGTCCTGAGTTCAATTCCCAGCAACCACATGGTGGTTCACAACATCTGTCATGAGATCTGGTGCCCTCTTCTGGCCTGCAGGCATACATGCTGTATACATAATAAATAAATAAATCTTTAAAAAAATAATAAATAAATAAATAAATAAATAAATAAATAAATAAATAAATAAATAAATAAAACAACAAAAAAAAAACCCACCATTTTTCTACCCTGAATGAGCAAGTCAGTTCTTTATGTCCTTTCCTCTGTGGAAGGCTTGGGGTAGGAGGGGTGAGGGGCAAAGGAGGAGGGGGCCCAGAAGCTTCTTTCTGAGGGTGCCCTTCAACAACCCTTTTAACATCTGGGGACTCTCAGGGTTAAAAGGAAACACTCTCACAGCCCCCCTCCTCAGAATCCACACCCCTGAGCATATGCACCTACACATGCATAAGCCCACACAGAGGCACATCATGTGCACACATGTGCCCCAGGCCAGAGACGTGGGTAACTCTACCCAGAAAACCCTGGGAACGCCAGCCTTCCAAGATGGACCTTCTGGCCTAGAGCCAGAGGCCGATGGACCAGGGCTTCCAGGATGGCACTAGCACTCTCACAGAACCTGGTGGCCCAGCCCTCTGCTTGGCCTCAGGGAGACTGCAGCTACCCTGACTGGAAAGAAAGTACCTGCCCAGGGCCACCCCTCTAGGGTACCCCCGATCTCAGGGGACTTTCCTCTTGTATTTGGCCATTCGTACCTGACACAGCCACACCCTCACCCATGGGAGACTGTCACGATCTAACCATTTTGTCAAAAGTTTAATTTAAAAAAAAGAAAAGTGAAGAATCTGAAAAAATTGGGATGTTGAGAGGAGAGATCCCAAAAGATTATAACCGCGAGAGACCACTGGCTCAGTCACAAAGAAACACCATCATCAAAAAAGATATTTAAGTTTAATACAAATTTTATACAAAGAAAATGTGAAAAAATACTCCCATATGCTAAAAGCAGTTACGCTTCCCAAATAAGGCCAGCTAGGCTAGATTGGTTTTTTTTTTGTTTTGTTTTTTGACAACTGTAATTCAATTCACAAATGTTCTTTCTCTCCGGTTTTCTTCTAGCATTTCTTCCTTCCTTCTCTAGTAGGCGTAAACTAGCTGGACAATGCACAGCTTGCATTTTCTTATCAACAATGAAGAGATAGTAAACGAAGACTAAAATGTACAACGGAATGTACTGGAATGATATACAATTAATTTTTCTCATATACACACATCATCTTTTGCTTCGATCGATGCTCGTTTTACACAACATACAAAATGGAACTACAGCAGACGTAGCGTTAACGGGACAGCATGACCGGTCTTGGCTTTCTCTCACACTGCCTGTGTTTCATGCTTACATAAAAACGTAGAACTCCAGCATATAAATAATACATACATGCTCCATCCGCGGGCTCACATGTCCTCAGCGTGCACCTTGCTTTTGAGTCCTTGCTTCTGAGACGCCTATCTCTTCATAGCTAGGTGTGAGTGTTTATGGAAAGCACTCCACAGAGAGAAGAGGTAGCCGCACGCGAATGCCATCCGCATCCACGATGACGCAGGGATTGTTTGTGTGGACCTTCTGTAAACGGCAGGCTGCTTTGCCTCTTGGGGAACCACAGCCGAGATCACAATCACACATGCTTCTCTCTGTCCTTCGAGCCCAGCAAACTTGTGTTTCACAACATCGTCTTGTAGGGTCTGTGAGGGGCCGATGGCTTGGTGTAGCGGGTCCAGGACAGCATAGCCTGGGAGCTCCGATCGTGGTGTGCTGCCGAGTGACAGCGGCTTCCTCCCTCCCCTGGGGATCCAGGGAGGAGGACCTGTGTGAGAACAGCAATCCCTGGGCCCAGCCCTGACACCACAGTGAGGCCAGAGGACTAACTAGCCAGCCCTCTGGATTATCAAAACATTCTTTTCGTTGTAGATTTTTTTATATATATATAACTTGTTTTTCTTTTTTATAAGTTAAGGTCAGTATAGATATGAAATGGAAGGTAGGCTAGGTCAGTGACGTCACAAAGTGTACCTACTTCCACCTCAAGTGTTGGGCTCACGAGGTCCGGCAGTCCCAGTCAAGGCCCATGCTGGGATGGAGTCCAGTTGCTGCCCTGCAGCCAAGCCCACGGGCAGAGCCTGAGTGTGGGGATCGGAAAGGTGGCTGTTCTCCAGTTACTGTTGCTTCCGGTTGTTTGGGTTCTTTCCCCCCCCACGGGGAGGTATTCTGGCTCACGATGCACCCCTAGTCCCAGAAGGCGTCAAGGCGGGACTCCCGCGACTCTTTGGGTATGAGGTTCTTCGCGCTGGTCCCTGCACTGTGCTCGGAGCGGGCCGACGCTCGCTTCTCCTCACTGCTGCTCCACAAACCTGTCTTGCTGCTCCGGGAATGGTCTGTGGAGGAAAGGCAGCAAGCTCAACTCTCCTGCCCACCTCCCCTCGACTCCTCCCCCAGCTGGGCGCTACCTCCTCCCCTCCAGCTGGACAACCCCCATTGTACCACAGCTACCACTGAGACCCCTTCTCTGGAGGCATACAGAGCAGAGGGACAGCTCATTTGGGGGCTTTAACCACAGCTGACTGGAAGATCAGCAGGGGGTCGTACTTGCAGGTACATGAAGGTTAGTGAGTGATGGTGCCCCATCGACAGGGGAGCCTGGCCCTTGTTAAGTGACTGAATGATACCACAGGGCCCATGCACTCTGCCTGACATTGGTCTTGGAGAAAGACCCTTGGAATCCGGCACATGGTCTCCCGATGTTAACAGGGCTCTTAGGTAATTGAAAAGACTCACATCCAAACCAGGAAGAGATTGGAAAAGAGAAGAAATGAGGAGCAGATGAGGTGGCTAAGCCCCCCTGGACACAGACCCCATGGACTCCTAGTAAGGATCATGTCAGGGGTCAGTGACTGAAACAGACCCCAGCTGACACCTGGGATGGTTTTGAGGACACACAGGTACCAGGCTAGGTAGCGGTTGAGGCAAAGAGAATGCTAAGAGAAGAGTATTGCCGCTCTCTTGGAAGAGGACCACAGCCCCAATCTGTGGGCGGTGCTGGCGGCGGCGATGACGGCCTTCATGGCTGTCCACTAAGACCCCTTACTTCTGTGACCATTCACTAAGCTTCCAGGTTCTCTAACTCTCCTGAGCTTCAGAGCGTCAAGCTTAGAGAAGGAACGGAGCCAGTGAGGAAGGGCTGCTGCTGCCCCTAAGAGACTGCACTTCTGTCTGTCTGTCTGTCTGTCACAAAGTATGTGCAGAGAATGCTCCAGTTGCTTCTACATTCAGCCAGAAGGGGGCAGACAGTGTCCTAACAGGCAGAGGGCAATTCCAAACTGCCCTCTTATGCACGTTCCTATTCCTAGCTACACTATAATCTTCGAGGGGCTGGCACGGCTGTAGTCACACCTCGCCGAGTCCTTCCAGCTCTGGGGAGAGCCAAGATCAGTGGGGACACTAAAGACAGAACTGGAGATCCCAGGATCCTCAGGCCTGAGCCTCAAATGAACTGGGTCCAGGATGCTGGCTGACGTGATCGGTCATGGCAGGGGAGATGCAGTATCAGCTGAGACAAAACAAAAGCCCCGAAAAGCCAACCCTACACGGTCGGACCTCAGTTTGCAAAGTACAGATAAGACCGCAGAGCAGAGGGAGACTCGAAGGACAGGACACGCCCACAAAGACACACACAAACACACAAAAAACGAGGCTTCTGCATGCCAGGAATGACTCCCGGCAGCTCCCATGAGACAGGGTCATACTTACACTTCTGGGATGGGTAGTTGGGGTGCGGCTGGTGGTCTGTAGTGGTTGGGGTATAGGCAGGTTGCTTGTCACACCTCTTGCTAACTGAAGAGAGCACAGGTAGCCTTAGAGTCTGTCACAGCTCAAATTCCACACAACCCCAGGGGACGACAATCATGGTCACCGACGGGCTAGCCGCTCCTGCACATCTGCCACCTAATTGGATGTGCTCGCAGGTGCCTGGGGCTTTTGAAAATGTGTGCAAACCACAAACAGGGTTGCTGGACACAGCACCACAGAGGGAAAGTGGACATACAGGGACGTAAAAGCGACCCAGGATTTACAAGCCACAAATTCTCAGGATTTTGAAAACTAAACTCTGCGAACCATAAGCTCTGCCAAAAGCCTGATTCTAGCAGGGAAACTGAGGCTGGATTGAGGTGCACTAGGGTAGCAGACACCACACAGCAGAGCAGAGGAGAATGGACTGGTTATCTGTGAAGAGCGGGAAGGCTGGCAAAGATACTACACTGAGGACAACAGGGGACAGCAGCCAGCAGCGACCAGCGGACTAAACCTGAGGCCACGATAAAAGGACATCCAGAGACCACATCCAAAGAGCCCCACCCCAAATCCTCAGGAAAGCCAAGTGTGCTGGTACACACCTGCCACCCCAACCCTCGGGAGGCTGAGGCAGGAGGATTATGACTTTGAGGCCAGCCTTGGCTACACAGCAAGTGGAAGTCCTAAAGAGTTCAGCAGGTGGACACTGGAATTAGGAGAAAGAAGGAAAGGAAGGGAAGATCACCACAGCGGGCCATGTGCCTGGGCGATGAGTGGCGTCAGAGTCACTGCAAAGGGAATCGTGGGGTTGCAACTTTTCACACTCAGAGAGGAAAGAGGAGAGAAGAGACAGCGAGGTGCACATGTTCTCAGTCGGGATGCCAGCAGGCCACGTGTGGGGCGGCATGGATGTGACAGGTGACAGGAAGGAGAAGGCCAGCTGACAAGAAAAGACTGCCTCTCCTGACAGCCAGGGGCGGTCGGACTGCATAAAGCAGCGACCTTAGAAATCAGGGAGTGGGAGGGGAAGCCCACGGATGAAGTCTAAAGACAGGTCAGAAAGCAGGACGTCCCGGCGGGCCGGCACGGCAGTGGAGCCAGGCAGAGGACACCTTGCCGGCTCTAGTCTAAGTCCCCGGGCTTGTATGCAAGGACACTCTGCTTAATACTCTTAAAGGACAAGCTGCCGCTGGGGAGATGGCTCCATGGTTTCCCCAGCACACATGAGACCCCGAACTCAATCCCCAACACCACACAAAAGGCCATCAAGTATAAAGGACGAAGGAGTGGGGGGAGGCCGGTGCCCCCCTAACATCTGTCCTCACAGACCCTTCCATTCCCACACTGAGGCCAGATGCAGACACGCAGCTCGGGACCACTGGCGTTCGTAAGGCCTTCCTTCCTCCAAGCTATGTCACAGGCAGCGACCCCAGGACCGAGTTCTGGCACTCATCAATGTGTCAAGAGTGAGGCGGGGGTGTGGGGGGAGGTGGGTCAGCAGTCAAGAGCATTGGCAACTCTTCCAGGTCCTGAGTTCAATTCCCAGCAACTACAATCATCTATAATGAGATCTGGTGCCCTCTTCTGGTCTGCAGGCTTACATGCAGGAGAAACACTGTATACATAATAAATAAATAAATCTTAATTAAAAAAAAAAAAGAGTAAGGAACAGTGTGGGTGGCTCTTTCTGTTCTGACAGGTCCATCAGCACAGACAGTGTTGATGGGAAAAGAGACCGAGAAGCTTCAGACTGTTTTCTGCACAGTGTCCCCAGCACTCACCGCCAGGAAGTCCCCCCCCCCACCTCCCCTGCTCTTGGGGAGTTTGTGGGGGTGGGGGGTGTGTACCTGTGAGTGTGGAGGCCAAAGATAATGATGAGGGTCTTCCTCAATCATTTCTCCACCTTTATTTATTTATTTGAAAGACAGGGTCTCTCTCTCACTCAAGCCTGTGTCTGGCCAGTGAGTCTGAGATCTCGGGTACGGGACACGGGAATTACAGGCACACGCTCTCACCGGGCTTTTCACACGGTGCAGAGTCCAGGCCTTCACGTCTGTACCCCCTGAGGCAGCTCTCCATCACCCCTGCCTCATTCTTTACCCTGGACTCAAGACAAGACTCACTCTGAAATCTCCACAAGTCTAGGATTGCCTGAGATAAAGTGTCAGTCCAGTCGGCTGGGTTGGGGCTCAAAAAAGGCAAGCACCAGCCTCAGAAAAGAAGGCCTAGGCAAGGCTATGAGGTGTCTCCTGAGCACTGCATCCGTGCCCAGCACTTTAAGAGAAAAAAATAATTGTAATAATAATAAAACTCACAACAATTAGACTTGTAAATGCCCTTGCTTGTCAATGCCTCCTTCTTCCGTTTTTTGGTTTTTAGTTTTTTTTCTTTGGGGGAGGGGGGAGGGCGATGGCATCTTGCTATGTAATTCTGGCTGACCTGGAACTCGCTATGTAGGCCAGGCCTGTCTCTGCATCCTGAGTGCTGGGAGTAAAGGCGTGCGCCACTATTGCTGAATGAGTGGCTTCATCTTAAGACAATGGTGACGTGCCAAAATAGAAGCCGGATAAGTGAGCTGAGGTGTGAGAGGGGAGATGGAGACAGGGTACCAGGAGAGGCTCTACCTGGGCTATGAGAAGGGAAATAGAGGCAGGGTACCAGGAGAGGCTCTACCTGGGCCGGGGAAGCTGAGCGGACAGGTTTCAGGTTGTGCTGCTCAATCCAGTAGCCACGAACCAACAAAGTTGCTATTTCAATTATCTAAAATAAAATGTGCAATCCCATCCCTTAATCACACGAGCTCAAGGGTTTGATATCCATTTCCAGGATGGACAACATAGACCTGACCACGGCTCTTGTGAGGAATTTTCCATCAGAAATGAGGGGTGTGGAGCGGAGGAAGGACCGTGGAAACACAGGTGAATTTATCAGTGCTGCCCGGGAAGGACAGGAACAGAGGGGCAGGTCAGGTGCAGGTCAGCCTGGCTAGGCAAGGCAGAGAGAATCTGGTGCTTTGCTTAGGACAGTGCCCAAGCCTGATGCTCCACAGGATGCGGAGGCAGGGAGGGCCAGGCAGGCGGTCTGACAGGGAACAAAGGACTTGGGCTGCTGCTGTTAAGGAGTCAGGGACTCATGACAGGGACTTAACAAGATGGCCAAGGAGGAAAGGAACTGTGCCGGGGTGATCAAGACTGCGTGTCTTGGGAGGAGTCTGTTCCCCAGGGTGATGTTCTCCCAGTGAGCTCTGGGGCTCAGGTGCAGAGGAGGAAAACGTGGAAAGCTGGACTTCTTTCCAGGTGTGCATGTTGAAGAAACAGGAGCCTGGGAGCCTGGACTCTACTATCAGAGCTCCTGACAGAAGGGAGGGCCAGGGAGATACAGCTGGAGGGGGGGGGTGGGGAGTGCCAGCATTACACAAACCAAGGCCACAGGAACAGCCTGGGAACCACCTCCAGCGTCCATTGACAGCCATTTTGTGGGGGCTAGCCTCCACACCTGGCATACTATGGAAGGCCCAGCTCTGACATCTGACAGCTGAGCAACCCGAGTGTCTAAGTCAGCTCCTGTGGACCACCTCCTCATCTGTCACAGCAGCTGCTTTCTCAGAGAGGCTGGGGACAGCAGGACCCAGCACAGAGAGCAGGGCTTCCTGGGGCCTCTTCTCACAACTCCCTCCCCAACCCCATCAGATCGAAGGCCTCCTCTCCATTTAAAGATGCTCCAGATCAGGGGTCAGCAAAGGGAACCAGGGGTCCCAGCAGACAGCCACTTCTGCAGGGCAGGGCGTGCCGACGCATGGCCATGCACTGGGCTCCGGCTTTGGTCTGTGGCCTGCACAGCTGTCAGGGAGGACACAGCCTTCTGCTGCGAAAGAGTGTGGCTGCCCTGGCCTCAAAGGCAGAGCACGGGGCCAAGTCCTCTAGCAGGTTCCCACTGGGCCTCAAGGTCATCCCGAAATGTCATTTCTCGGCTCTAACTCCTCCATGGCACCCCAGAGTCCCAACTACAATCCCCCCATATCTTATTCAATTCGTGGGTTTCTTTGCTTGTTTATATTTGAGACAGTTTCATGCTGTAGACCAGGCTGGCCTAGAACTCAGAGATCCACCTGCCTCTGCCTCCTGAGTTCTGGGATTAAAGGCCTGTGCCACCATGACTGCTTTTATTTTACACTGTATTTTTATTTAAGCATCACCTCTAAAAAGTGGAAAATCCTTTAAGGCACCTCATCAAACATGATTTAAAAATAAAGAAAGAAAAAAGAAAGGAAGCAAGAAAGAAAGAAAGAAAGTGTTCCTTACTAAGGGTACCCTCCATTCTATCTTTGTGAAGAGCAGAACTCAAGCCAGGCAAGGGGGCACAGGCCCACTACTCCAGCGCTCAGGAGGCTGAGGCAGGAGGATCATGAGACCAAAACCAGAATTTGAAATAATCTATGACATTAATGACATCGTGGAATGACAGAAGCCCCGAACTCAGCAACAGGCAAGAACTGAAGGAGATATGGGGGGGTGGGGGGGTGGGCAGCCCCTGTTTTGTCCACTAGCAGCCTTCAATTACATTACACCCCAAGTCTGTGAGTTAAAAAAACAGCTTAGCATGGTGGCACACGCCTTTAATCCCAGCACTCAGGAGGCAGAAGCAGGGGGGGATCTGAGTTCCAGGCCAGCCTAGTCTGGAGAGCGAGTTCCAGGATGGCCAGGGCTGCACAGAGAAACCTTGTCTCCGAAACAAAAATGATTAAATGTGTGCGTTTAGATCCTCCCTACCATCACCCCTTCAAACTGCCATCCTGAGCGACCTTCCTCTGTCTACCTCACTGTGCAGAAGCAAACATTAACTTTTAGTTTTCAGCTAAAGAAAATCAGTGGACAGAGAGATCCTGCAGCCAAGACAGGAGAGACCCTCAAATTGGCCAAAACCATTGCGGAGAAGGAAGCCATTGCTCTGAACTCTGGAAGCAAGCTCAGAAGAATGTAGGAAAAGACACCCGAGGCTCCCAGGAAGGAAGGATGGCTCAAACTAACCCAAGAGAAGATGCCCACAAAGGCCAGCAGGGGATCCCAGGAGAGACTCATTGACAGAGGTCCTACTCATCATCATCTTCGTCACCTAAGGCTTTAAAGGTCTTCATAAGGCCTGAGGACCTCAGAGATTCTGTGTCCCAGTGAAGGGTGCCCTTAGTAACACAATATACATGGCTGACCAATGCAAGGAGGCACCCGGATAACACCTTGCCTAGCCACACCCCCACCCAAACCCATCCAATGTACCCCAAAGGATCCCAAGCCTTTAACTCCCCCCAAGTCGACCAAGTGAAATATAAAACACCATCTGCCCACCAGGGGGCGACATACCAGAGCCTTGGTTGGAACCTAAGAGAACGGAGGAGGGCGTCTCTCTGGAGCCAGAAAGGTCCAGGGTCTAGAAACACAAACAAACAAAAAGATGGGACCCTAGAACCCCAGGGAATCATGGAGGGGGCTCACTATTCCCCCACCCAAGACACCTTAAGAGGCCTCTACCTGACAATCAGACAAGAACAGATGGATGGCCACACATCTTACGCTCTGCCTGCCAGATTCTAAAGTCCAAACAAAGCGTCTGAGTGATTCCCCCGTTTACCCCTATTGTCCTCGCTCCTAGACCATTCACTGCTTCCGAAGCTCCACCCACAGACCTACCCAGCACCTTTCTGTGCAAAAAATGTATACACTGCTCAAAAATGCTACCAACTTGTTTATTTCATTAGTCTCTTACTAGGCGACACTGTCACGTCAACAGGGTTTTACTGACCATCTAATGATCTCCTGAAATACAGTTAAAAGTGTAAGCAATGATGACCACACCCCCTAAAACAGCCTACGTATTCAACTGTTATCACATACCCCATGGGAAGCAAGCAGCTAGGACCCCTGTGGTCCAGTGTGACAGCACTGGCCACACGTGGACACTTAAATCTCAAGTAATTTTAAAATAAGCAGGTCCTTGGCTAGTCACATCAGCCACACTTCTTGTCCTCCATAGTGACAGGTGGCTGGAGGCTTCCAGGCTCAGCAGAAGGGGCATTGATTACAACCCTGGACAGCAAGGGACATTGGGGGTGGCAGATACAGAGAGGGTCCTTGGCACAGGGTGGCTGTCAGCGGGGGACCCTCACCGAGCTGTCCTTGCTCTTCTCTGATGATGTCTCTTTCTCTTTGGAGGCGCTGGCCGTTTCTGAAGGTGCCGACGGCGCAGTGGAGGAGCTGCCCTGGGATGACTTATTTCCTGTGTCCGTGCTGGCCTCAGCATCTGCTTCCTGCTGAGGGGCAGTGGCTAGGGACCAATTAGAAGGAGAAAACTCGTGAGGATGCTGCAAGCCGTGTGTGTGATGGTTTCAGGCTTCATTTAGAGCCCAGCTTCAAACCTTTGCCACACCTCGAGGACCCCACAGCTCGGTCCCTATCCGACCCCACCAGGCTCCATCCTTCCCAGTCCCACCTAGAGATCAGGCAAGGGCCCCGGTCTCCAAAAGCCAGAACTCCAAACTTTGTTTTAGAATTGATCTTTTAATATTTAGCAATTCAAGTTTTAAATCACTTGCTGAGGAGAACATGTTCTCCAAGCCCAGGAAGCTTGTGGGGAGCCAGGCTGTGACCGCCCTTCCCCACAAAGGAGCCTCTGGTCTTCATCTAGGCTTAGATCTGCCTCAGCCCAGTGTTTGTTTCTGAGGCCGAGTGACGGAGACTAGGATCTTCTGAGAGGGGGCACAGAGCTCCTGGGTGAATAGGAAAGCAGGGAGGAACTACCAACACAGACCTCACTGTGCCACAGGGAAGGTGAAAGATTTAAAGAATCTACATGGAGTGCCCCTCCCCCAATGCACATCACCAAACATGGCTTGGGCTGTAGGGGGTGGGGGGTGGGGTGGGGAGGCCTTCGGGTCAGAATGAGAGGTGATGGCTCATCATGGCAGTCCTAATAACAAGTCAGTTAGCTCCCAGCCAGCAAACACTTCTTCCTTAGCCTGAGAATCGGGACTGCATCCTGCTGAAGGCTGTGGATTCCTGCTACCTCGAAGAACAGATCACCTGGTCAAAAGCTCTGCCAAGCTGGCTGTTGGAGGTTGGAGACCCTGTGCCAGGTCGGCTGTGTGACCCGACGACTGCATCCCTTGCTTATCAGCAACAGCTGTTTGCAGGCATCCGTGGCAAGAGCCCGCCCGGCAGCCTCCCCGGCAGGCGCCCACTCGACGGTACCTGACTGGGTACAGGACTTCATGTGCTCAGGCCAGTGAGCCTGCTGGCACGGGTAGTCACAGTAGCTGGTGTTCCAGCAGCAGTAGAAGATGGCCTCCTTCTTGCAGTTCGCACACCACTGCTTCTTCTTGGTCTCGTCGACCGCCTGCTGCTTCTCCAGCTCCAGCTGCTTCTTCACCTCGGCGATGAGCCGATCCCGCTCTTGCTCCAAGCTCTGCCGCATCTCCGCCATGGTCAGTTCTGCAGGAGGAGGACACTGGCTACATCACCTGGTCCGGTGCAGCACGCTCGCCGTCAGGCCCCCGGGTTCACACAGACCTGATCTAAGTCTTGGGAATGGCCCCCACTAGCTCGGGGACCCTGGGCCAGTAATCCAGCTGGGACATTTATCACTCAAGTCTGATGGCCCTGTCACACTGTGAGCGATGGATGGGCCGGGTACGTAACAGGAGGCCTCAGTGATGTCATCCCAAGTAACCTCAAGTTGTAGGAATTCCACAAGCCCTCCAAACAATGTCAACTGATATTCGCTCCACTTTATACTTGTAACATGAGCATTACCATACTCCCAAGGATACACTCTACCATCCTGTTTCACAGAAAATAAAGGCATTCTAATACAATTTGTCCTGAGATACTGACTGAACCCGGTCAGGGACACTGTGGTTGATTATTATGCTAACGGGGCAACCATCAACCCACTCATTCCTAGAAAATTCCTCTGCTTCTACTCCAGGCAGTATATACATTCACAAGTAAACCTTCCACTGAGAGCAAATGGTCCCTCAATCCCCCACACGCTCTTCGTCAACCAAGAAGACCAGCAAAGGGCCACCAAGGTAAAGCTGGTAAAGGTGCTTGTGGCCCAGATGGGGTCTGCACCCGCACCCCCAGATCCCTGAGGACTGTGCTCTCCCCAACTCCGGACACAGCCTAGTTGACATCTGGGCCCAGACTCAGAGCAGTCACAGGCTCACACCCGCAGGGGTGTGGGGGTGGGGGCGTGCATGCGTGCGTGCGTGCGTGCGTGCCTGTGTGTGTGAGACTCACCCAGGTTGTGCTTCATCTCGGCAAGCTCCTGCTGGTGCAGCCACTGCAGCTTCTCAATCTCGATCCTCAGCCTTCGAATCTGCAGGGAGGACACAGGCGCCTCAGACACCACCCGTGGCAGCCAGCCGGTCCCCTCAGGTGTGAACCTGAGCTCTGCCTGGCAACCTGGCTCTGAACCCACTGTCCCATAGCTCAGGTCGTGATTGTGTGGTGAGGGGGAATGGGTCCCATACACACACACACACACACACACACACACACACACACACACACACACACAGAGAGAGAGAGAGAGAGAGAGAGAGATACACACCCTTGAGGATCCTAGTCCTGAAAGCCAAGGCAAGTAAGCCATTTCCCCCCCAAAAAAAATATACAGCAGGAGGGAAAACTAAATAATACATTAAAAATTTAATTAGCACTGGGGGTAAGGGGAGGGGGTGGAGGGGGGAGAATAGGGGAACCCATGGCTGATATGTAGAACTGAATGGTATTGTAAAATAAAAAAATATATATATAAAATAAAAAAAAAAATTTAATTAGCATCGTGATTCTTTTAAAACCCATGAAAACAGGGCGACACCGAGATAGCTCGGCTGGAAAGCATCTGGCGCCAAGCTGACTCGGGAGGGAACAGATAGCTGCTCCACACCCTCCCAAAACCTACACAGGACGCCCCAGAGCCGAGGACCACCTGTACCCCACGCCTGAGCAACTGAGTGAACAGCCACATGCCAATGCAGAGGAGTATGGCAGGGTTGGGGGCTGGAGGGGCGTGGTCATCCTGGCACAGACTGGATCCAAGGTTTCAGGGGAGACACGTGGACCAGAACTTCAACCATCCACAAATGCTTAAAATGAACAAAAAGGGCTGACTGTAGTGGTATAGGCCTTTAATCCCAGTTCTCAGGAGCAGAGGCAGGTTTACTTAAAGTCGGTGAGTTCAAGGCCAGCCAGGGATACATCGTGAAATCCTATCTCCCTGCCCTCCCCCACCTCCACCAACTGCCCAAAGAAAGTTCACTGGGGACAGAGAGATTTCTCCTTGCTGGTTGACACTGTCAGTGTACTCACAGAGGGTCACACTTATAAAACACACAGGCACACCCCCTCCCCATGCACCATGACATGCTTGTTTGTTTTTAAATCTCCACTGATTTCTTCAGGGCCTCTCGTAAGCCTTTACATACCCACTGTCCCATTTGTTGCCGTAAGGAAACCCTGCCTCAAGGGCCAGTGTTTCTGCTTGGGATTCATTCCCAGCCTGCAGCGCCATCTCCGATGGCCTCAGGTAACCCTGTTCCCTGTGCATCGCCTGATGACTGATTCAGGCCACCAGGCCACTGCCAGCACCATGCTGTCCACACAGACACTAGCAGGTGGTCGGTCACTCTCTGAGTGGCCTCCGAGGGAGGTGCAGGGATGAATGTTTTTGTGTTTGTCTTTGAATACAAGGCTGCTTCATGATTTAATCATAAGAGGTGACTTCATAAGTAAATAGTTTGGCATTTTAACCACCGTCTGTCTGTGCTCATAGAGCTACGGACGGTGCCTCCAGTACAGAAATTCTTACATAAGAAGTGTTTGTCGAGCCAGGGGATGGCGCACGCCTTTAATCCCAGTGCTCAGAAGGTAGAAACAGGAGGTTCTCTGTGAGTTCGAGGCCAGCCTGATCTACAGAGCGAGTTCCAGAACAACCAGAGTTACACAGAGAAGCAACCCCTGGAGGGTGGGGGAGATGGAGAAGACCACACACACTGATCAAAGCTGGTGTCCAGTCTCCCTGTGATCTAACAGGCTGTAGGCAGGAAGCAGCGCTAGTCTCCCTAGATGCCTACTTAATGAAACACCCCACCCAAGCTCACCGCCAGAGAGCAAGCCAGTGCTTGGAGCCAGTGCCCCAGAGGGGCTTCCAGCCCGGCTTCCCATGGCCCTGGCTCGCGCCCTGAACTGCGGGGGTCGGTTCCCCCACTGCCGCTCACCTCCGCTATCGTGCTTCCGGTGGTGTTTTTGGAGAGGTCATTGTAGATCTCCGTCATCGTCCCTTTTATGGCATCCATCATCTACAAAGATAAAACCAGAAGCTTATGTGAACGAGGGGGGCGCTCTCCGTGGCCTTCGGTAGGTGACGTGGAAACCCAACACTAGTGAAGTCTGGGACGCCGTGTCCCTCCCAGGACCTGGGTGCTTTAGGCTGTCAAGATGCCTGACAGCAGGACTGGACTGCATCTGGCACCCAGGGGTGGAAGCCAAGGAGGCCACTAAATGACCTACAGTGATCTACAGTGTGCAGGCCCTTGCTGAGCTGAGAAAGCCAGCACAGAACAATGTGGAAGCCACCTAGAGTCCCTTCTGGAGGCCAGACTCCACCCCCAGGTGGGTCTTGTTGAGTCAACACAGCAGGTTTAAGAAGAGACTACTTTTGTTTCTGCTGCTTTACATTCTTTTTTCCTTACTTAAAAATAAATAAAAATTATAGTCTTTTTTTTTTTTTTAAAGCCAGGGCCTCATGCATCCATCTGGTCTACCTCACTATGTAGCTGATGACTCTGAGCTTCTGAAGCTCCTGATCACACCCAATTTTTAAAATTCAGTAGTAGGGCTGAGTCCAGATGTTTCATGCATGCTAGACAAGCACTCTATACCAACCAAGCCACACCTCCAGCCCACCAAGATAAATTTTTTTAAAAAGTTTATTGTTAGGAAGAGTGAATGTGCATGTGCATGAGCAGGTGCTGGTATGCATGTCCCAAGCATGATTGGAGGTCAGAGGACAACTGTGTGGAGTCAGTTCTCTCCTTCCGCCTTTCCATGAGTTCCAGGGATCCAAATCAGGTCACCAGACTTGCACAGCCTTCATCCCCTGAGCCACCCTGCTGACCCCAAAGCACATTTTAATGAGATATAATTAATACATTATCCACTTCACCAGCTAGAGTGTACAATCTGCTGGCTCTGAGGTGCTACACTTCAGTGGCTGTGTGCTGACTCACACGCACATGCTCAATGGCTTTTAGCACGTCTGGAGTTACACATCCAACAGCACAAGCAATTCTAGGCCGTTTTCATCACACACACACCCAAAAAGAGGACGCCATTCTCCCGATTCACTGTCTTACGGTTACTGTTGCAGTGGTTAAACATCATGACCAAGCAACTCGGGGAGGAAAGGGTTTATTTGGCTTACACTTCTACATCACAGTTCATCATCAAAGGAAGTCAGGACAGGAACTCAAACAGGGCAGGAACCTGGAGGCAGGAGCTGATGCAGAGGCCACAGAGAGGAGCCACTTACTGGCTTGCTCAGCCTGCTTTCTTACAGAACCCAGGACCACCAGCCCAGGGATGACACCACTCACAATGGGCTGGGCCCTCCCCCACCAGTCAGGGATTAAGAAAATGCCCTGCACGCCTGCCTGGATCTCAGTGTTACGCAGGCATTTTCTCAGCTGAGGTTCACTCTTCTTGGATGACTATAGCTTATGTCAAGTTGACTTAAAAAGAGCCAGCACAACCCGAAACACCCCCACTACCCGCTACTTCACCCAGGCCCCTGGGAACCATTTATCCACTTTCTGTTTCTGTGGATGTGTATGCTCTGGACCTGTCATAGGAATCTCAATCACTGCACATCCGGGCCTCAGAGACTATGGTCAGGGACTCCGCAGATCGACAGCATGTACATTATGCCCTGCCTTTTCCTGGTCCATCAAGTGGACATGGCTGGCTTGTCACTGTAATGCCTTCTAGGGTCCACGAAGCAGCCAAACCCAGACAGATGCATACCAATTAATGTACGTGTAATGTCCTTCTGCCTTCGACCTGAGTGTGGCCCCGCCTCAGCCCCAGCAGCAAGAACAGGAGAAGGGGGCTGCAGGCCTTAGCTGCTGCCCTTCTCCTGGGTTTCCAGTGGGAAGGCAGGACGGTGCACCTCTGCCTCGGGTACTCCTTTTCTGTTTTGTTTTAGATTATTGATTTATTTAGTATGTACACTGTGTTCTGCCTGAGTGTATGCTTGAACCCCAGAAGAGGGCGCCAGATCTCATTCCAGATGGTCATGAGCCATCATGTGGTGCTAAAAACTGAACTCAGGACCTCTGGAAGAGCAGCCAGTGCTCTTAACATCTCAGCCATCTCTCCAGCCTGCCTCTAGTATACACTTATCTCTCTTTCAGAGGCTCCTTCTCCCAGCTAAAAAACAAATATCACCCATGTGTGGGGAGCCCGTGTGGGGTGCCCACATCAATGAAGTGAGAAAACCAGGGGAGGCTGACTGGGCAGGGCGACTACAAATAAAGAAACACTTGTGCCAGACAATGTGTACTTTAAAAAGGAGTAAAAACTCTTGGCACACACCTTTAAGCATTTTGTTGTTGTTGTTGTTGGTTTTTGAGACAGGGTTACTCTGTGCAGTTTTGGTGCTTGTCCTGGAACTCACTCTGTAGACCGGGGTGGCCTTGAACTCACAGAGATCCGCCTACCTCTGCCTCCCAAGTGCTGGGATTAAAGGTGTGCGCCACCACTGCCCGGCTCACCTTTAAGCCTTTAATCCCAGTACTCAGGAGGCAGAGGCAAGTGGATCTCTGAGTTTGAGGGCAACCTGGTCTACAGATCAAGGTCCAGGATAGCCAGGGCTACACAGAGAAACCCTCTCAAAAAACAAAAAAACAAAAAAAAA